CCCTCCTGCCCCCCTCCCCCCTCTTCCCATGCTCCCAATTTGCTCAGGGGATCTTGACCCTTTCCCCTTCTCCAGGGGACCATGTATGTCTCTCTTACAATCAGTTACTCATTGTTAATCAGTTCAGTTATTCATCGTTAATCGACACTATGATAATTAACAATAATTAACATTGTCCAAAATTTTTTGTAAAATCCTTCAAAGTGGAAATAAAACCCTTAGAAAGAAGGAGCTTGGATCTATAGCTGTCAGTTAGCATACATTTACCGGCAAATTCCTGTGACGGAAAGCCTGTGTTACAAACATGGCTTCTTAGAGAAGAGATCTCAACATGAATTTCCCAAAGGCATCTATCTCATAGTGGCTCTGAAATTGAGCTCATCAGCTCAGGCAAGGCATGTGCTGACACCACCACTCACACAGATGACCCCACGGGCTCTCTGCTCCTTCCTCCCTGCACTGAAAAGCTTTCAGCAACTCCCCAGGTCACTGAGTTCAAAGCCAAAGTACATTTTGGTGACCTGTGCAACCTGCTTGCCATTGCCCCTCTGGTACTTCCCAGTCTCCTTGCTCAGTGGGCAGGAGCCTCACAGAGCCCTCATGGGTACTTGTACCCTAGTGTATACATGTACATGTGAGTGTAGTAGGTGACTAATGGAGCACAGGCATAAAAATTTTATATAAAAATAACATGAGTTGGGTTTGGGAAAATAACTCAGTGGATAAGAGCAGTTGTTTTGCAAACATGAAGACCTGAAGTTCACATCCCCAGCACCCACATAAAAACTCAATAAGGGTGTAGGTATCTGTAACCCCAGTGCTGGAGGGTAGAGGCAAGGATATTGCTAGCTAGCCTGCCAAGGTAAAAAAACTGTGAGTGTCATGTTCAGTGAGATAACCTGTCTCAGAAATCAAGCAAAGAATGGTAAAACAAGGTGCTTAATGCCCTCTTCTCCACACCAGTACACACACACACACACACACACACACACACACTAACACACACATCTCCCTTTTTCTCTCTCTCTCTCTGTGAGTTACGTAATATAGTCAATTTTTTTCATTTAAAATTTTAGAGTTACATAATCCTAGATATTAGTTACTAATTAATGTAACATTTAAAAATTCTGAAAATAAGCCATTCTTCCTTTTTTGTTGTTATTTTGGTTTTATTTGGTTGGTTTGTTGGTTTTGTTTTGGTTTTTCAACACACGGTTTCTCTGTGTAACTTGTAGACCAGGCTGTCCTCGAACTCACAGAGATCCACCCGCCTCTGCCTCCAGAATGCTGGGATTAAAGGCGTGCAGCACCATGCCAGCTGTCATTCTTTTTCAAGTAGAGGTCACAAAGGGATAAAATTACTCACATTTAATTTTTTTTTCCTTTTGAAATCTTAAGCCTTCTGGGTCTGTAATGTGTGTAATGAGCTTTTTATTTAGAAATCCTGTTGTCAACAACAGTCATTGTATGAAAACAAGATTCATGAGGTTCCCTCAATAATGGAATTTCCTTCTATTAAGGCCGGCTGGAACTAAAAGAAGATAACATCGAGTGCCTGCTGTCTACAGCATGCCTTCTCCAGCTTTCCCAGGTTGTGGAAGCATGTTGTAAATTTCTAATGAAACAGCTCCACCCATCCAATTGCCTTGGAATTCGTTCTTTTGCTGATGCCCAAGGCTGCACTGATTTGCATAAAGTGGCCCACAATTATACTATGGTATGTATTTTTTTGAAAATCAGAAAGTTATGTCCTCCTTGCCCCCATTTCTTACCTTCGAAATCGTATCTACATGTTGCTGGTTTCATGTGGTTTTGCCACAAGTTTTGAGGTTCAAGTTCATGATGTAGTATTAAGTTGGAAAAGGGAAACAAGCAGGATGTCTCCTGATGGACAATTCTAATGGCAGGTGTGATGCTTTTAAGAGCAGCATTTTCTAAACATTCTACTGCCGCATGTGGGTGAATTTCTGATCTATATCACTGGTGGAATCTGGTGGCAGTGGTTGTACGTTTGGTACAGCACTAAGATGAACAATAAAAAGATGAATGGGAGACCTCCTATTTCAGATGCCTCTGGTTACACACAAGAAGTGCTTGCACTGTGTAGAATAATACTCTTATTAAGTGCAATGAATTATG